TCTGCACCTCTGATGCTGCCTGGCCTGCTGTGTTCCTCCAGCTCCACAGTGTATTATCTTTTCTCTAAATGCTTCTGTTTCCCATCTTCCTTAAGCTCAGAGATCATAGTATGTCCTGAGGTTAGCTTTTCACTTTTCCCTTTGAAATGTCTTGGAAAATTTCTTGGTTAAAAGTGCTATGTAAATACATATATTATCGCAGTGTAATGCAAGAGATAACCTTTCACTAGTTTGGAAGCATCTGAAAAATGAACAGGTTTCGCAATTCTGTTTCTGTGAAATACATCTCATGAATTTTTCTGCTTCGAGTTGCAGATTCATTCACCTTTTGTTTTTAATGTTCTCACTGTAACATGATACCTTCTTTGATTCCTAGAGACAGGTAAGCGTCAAAGTTCTGATCTTACATGGAACTTAAAGCACATCACAAAGACATGGCTGCAAGGGGATCAGGATTGGGAGCTGAATATCCAAGGATATACACCCTATCAAAAAGATAGGCAGGTGGGCAGAGGGAGTGGGGTTGCCTTATTAGTAAGAAATGAAATTAAACCAATAGGAAGAAACGAAGTAGGGTCAGATGGTGTAGAATCTTTTTTTGGTAGAGCAGAGGAATCGCAGAGGTAAAAAAAACATAGTTGGAGTTATGTACAGGCCTCCAAACACAAGTCAGGATCTGGGGTGCAAGATACACCAGGAGGTAGAAAAGGTGTGTAAGAAAGGCAAAGTTACGGTGATCATGGGGGATTTCGATATGCAGGTGGACTGGGAAAATCATATTGTTAGTGGATTGCAAGAAAAGGAATTTGTGGAATATCTATGAGATGGCTTTTTGGAGCAGCTTGTGGTGGAGCCCACAAGGGAACAGGCAATACTGGATTTAGTGTTGTGCAATGAGGCAGACTTGATAAGGGAGCTTAAGGTGAAGGAACCCTTAGGAGGCAGTGATCATAATATGATTCAAATTGCAGAGTAAATTCAAAGGGAGAAGATAGAATCAGAGGTAATGGTATTATAGCTGAACAAAGGCAACTACAGAGGTATGAGGGAGAAACTGGGAGAAGAACCTAGCAGAAAGACAGTGGAACAGCAATGCCAGGAGTTTCTGGGAGTAATTCAGGAGACACAGCTAAAATTCATCCCTAGGAAAAAGAAGCATGGTACAGGGACGATGAAACAACCATGGCTGACTAGGGAAGTCAGGGATAGCATAAAAGCAACAGAGAAGGCATATAATGTGTCAAAGAGCAGTGGGAAACCAGAGGATCGGGAAACTTACAAAGACCAACAGAAGGCAACAAAAAAAAGAGAAGATTAAATATGAGGGTAAGCAAGCCATTAATATAATGGAGGACTGTAAAAGTTTCTTTAGATATATAAAGGGCAGAAGTGGACATTGGACCGTTAGAAAATGACACTGGAGAAACAGTAGTGGGGAACAAGGAAATGGCTGAGGACCTGAATAATGACTCTGCATCAGTCTTTCACAGTGGAAGTCACGAGTAATATCCCAAAAATTCAAGAGAGTCAGGGGGCAGAGCTGTGCATGGTGGCCATCAACAAGGAGAAGGTGCTAGAAAAACTGAATGGCTGGAAGGTGGATAAATCACCTGGACCAGATGGATTACACCCCAGATAAAGGAGATAGCTGAAGAGATAGTGGAAGCGTTAGTGGTCGTCTTTCAGGAATCGCTAGAGTCAGGGACGGTCGCCGAGGACTGGAAAATCATTAATGTGACACCCCTGTTTAAAAAGGGAGTAAGGCAGAAGACTGAAAATTACAGGCCAATTAGCCTAACCACGGTCGTGGGGTGAGATTTTAGAGTCCATTGTGAAGGATGAGATTTCTGAATACTTGGAAGTGCGTGGTAAAATAGGGTAAGATCAGCATGGCTTCGTGCCTGACAAATCTGTTAGAATTCTTTTGAAGAAGTAAAGAGCAGGTTAGACCAAGGAGAATCAATGGATGTTATCTACCTGGACTTCAAGAAAGCCTTTGACAAGGTGCTGCATAGGAGGCTGCTGAGTAAGATAAGGGCTCATGGTGTTAGATGCAAGGTACTAGCATGGATAGAAGATTGGCCTTCTGGCAGACAACCAGAGAGTGGAGTTAAAAGGTCTTTCTCAAGATGATAGCCGGTGACAAGTGGTGTTCCACAAGGGTCAGTGTTGGGATGACAACTTTTCACTTTATACATTAATGATCTAGATGAAGGAACTGAGGGCATTCTGGCCAAGTTTGCAGATGATATAAAGATAGGTAGAACAGGTAATATTGAGGATGTGGGGAGACTGCAGAAGGATTTGGACCAGTTAGGAAGTGGGCAAAGAAGTGGTAGATGGAGTACAGCATGGGAAAGTGTGAGGTCATGCACTCTGGTAAGAAGAATAAAAGCATAGACTATTTTCTAAATGGGGAGAAAATTCAGAAGTCTGAAGTGCAAAGAGACTTGGGAGTTCTAGTCCAGGATTCTCTGAAGGTAAACTTGCAGGGTGAGTTAGTAGTTAGGAAGGCAAATGCAACTTTGGCATTTATTTTGAGAGGACTTGAATATAAAAGCAGAGATGTACTTCTGAGGCTCTCTAAGGCTCCGGTCAGGCAACGTTTGGAGTATTGTGTGCAGTTTTGGGCCCTTTATCTTGGGAAAGATGTACTGGCCCTGGAGTGGGTTCAGAGGAGGTTCACAAGAATGGTCCCAGGAATGAAAAGATTAACATGAGAAACATTTGAGGACTCTGGGTTTATACTCGATGGAGTTTAGCAGGATGGCGGGGGGGTCTAATTGCAACTTACAGAATACTGAATGGCCCGGACAGAGTGGATGTTGGGAAGATGCTTCCATTGGTAGGAGAGACTAGGACCCGAGGGCACAGCCATAAACTAAAGGAAAGACCTTTTAGAACGGAGATAAGGAGAAACTTCTTTAGCCAGCGAGTGGTGAATCTATGGAATTTGCTGCCACAGACGGCTGTGGAGGTCAGGTCATTGAGTATATTTCAGACGGAGATAGATAGGTTCTTGATTGTCGAGGGGATCAAGGGTATGGGGAGAAAGCAGAAGAATGGAGTTGAGAAACTTATCAGCCATGATTGAATGGCAGAGCAGACTCGATGGGCTGAAAGGCCTAATTTATGCTCCTGTCTTATTGTCTAAATAGACAACTCACCCAACTGGTCTGTGCTGGTACTTCTGCTTCATAAGAGCCTCCTCCCACTCCTTTTCATGTAGTCCACTCAACATACCCTTCTATTCTCTATTCCTTCCTCCATCATGTGCCTATTTAGCTTCCCTTTAAATGCATCTGTGTTCCTGGCTTCAATTATTCTATACGGTTCTGAATTCCAGTTTCTAACCACTCTGAGTTAAAGAATTTCTGCAACATTCCCCACCATATTGATTGTTGACCCTCATACATTGAACCGATGTTTCCCCCTTGTTTGCGACTGTCTCACAAGAGGTCATAGATATAGAGTGAAAGGAGGTAGGTTCAAAACTGAGATAAGCAGAAACTATGTCTCTCAGAGGGTTGTGAATCTGTGGAACTCACTCCCCCAGAGTGCAGTGGAGGCAGAATCAATCAATAAATTCAAGGAAGAAATAGGTATGTTTCTGATGAAGAGCGGGATAAAGGGCCATGACGAGCAGGCAGGGAAGTGGATTTGAGACAAGGATAAGATCAGCCATGATCATATTAAACGATGGGGTGGCTCGGAGGGCTGAATTGCCGACTCCTCCTCATTCTGACATTCCTACATTTATGGCCCCAGGTTTGGTCTCTGACAAATAAAGGTTACATAGTTTGGGTATTAGATGATTCCTTATGATTCAGCACACATCCATCAGATGACAATCAAATGTCTCTTGAAATGCAACTATTGCAACATTGAGATAACAAGATGTAGAGCTGGATGAACATAGCAGGCCAAGCAGCATCAGAGGAGCAGGAAAGCTGACGTTTCGGGCCCAGACCCTTCAGAAATGAAGATAAGCAGGTTTCTGAAGAAGGGTCTAGGCCCGAAACGTCAGCCTTCCTGCTCCTCTGATGCTGCTTGGCCTGCTGTGTTCATCCAGCTCTACACCCGGTTATCTCGGATTCTCCAGCAGTTGCAGTTCCTACTATCTCTATTGCAACATTATGTTGTGCTGTGTACTCAGTGGTCAGTGTTTGTTGCACAAGGAATTTCAGACCATGGATAGTATGTTGATTTCCAGGAAACTAAGATTATGAAGGCAGGAGTTAGTGGGAGGAATTCCATTAAATTCACTTTCCACATGAATGTTCTTGCTGTTTTATTTTCAACATTCTTACTACATCCCCACTTGTCAGATTTAGTGTAGCAAAATAGGCTGAGCCAGTACATTTGATCAGAAATGCACATGATTGTCTTACCTTTACAGAGACTGACAAGGAACGGTGTTAACATAATCTGGTTCTTCATCTTCATCAGAGTTATTCCCATATTTCTTTTCTGAAGATTAAAAGTGAAAAGTACAATTGTGAGTTTGCATTTTATACAATTTCAAATTGCAACAACGTTGGTCCCAGTCGGAGTAATGACAAAATCTTGAAAATCATTTAACTCAGACTTGTGAATGCACTAATTAACTACCACTGACTCTTAGCTGCCCTCTGGACAATTAGGGATAGGCAGTAAATGTTGGCCTAGCCAGCAATGCCTGCACCCTACGAGTGAACTCTTCAAAAAAGCAAGCTCTCTGAAAATTACACATTCAACAGCTGACGCTAGTTTCCAACTTGTCCATCATTTACATGTTTCACTCTCTATGTTTTCTGGAGGTTGAGTCCAAAGCTGATCCTTGTACTTTTCTGAGGAGGATCTTAAAGAAACAACTCCTACTTTGTACTTCAGCCTCCTCTAGGAAACTAACCACATTGTGTGCAATATTTTGATTCATTGTTATGCCTGAGGACCTGCATTTAGCCCTATACGTGTGAACCCCTAAATCTCTTCTCACCATCACAATCTTCCAATTTGTCTTTTTCTCAGATCTAAAGGTTGAACTCATGGGAAGGTGTTTGTAGAGCTCCCATTGGCTCCCAAGCACATTTTTGAAAAGGAGTTCTGGTGAAGTTACAGTCAGAGCTTTTAAGCTGTTTACATTATTCCTTTCTGAGGAGGCAGAAGGTACTTGATTTCTCTCCCAGCTAAGACTCCCTGTAGAATTTTCCAAGCTCAAGTGAGAACAAGACAAGATGCAGCTATTCGCTGATTCTATCTGAAACAGCTTTGAAGTTCTTTCCTGCCTGGTGCTTCATGAAGTGGCAGCCCATTAGGAATTATAGATGGTGGGTATGCAGTGCCCAAGTCTTTTGCTGACTTGGATTAAGTAGGGTGGGTGCAAGGGCTTACAGGAAATGGAGCGGAGCTCTTCCACCAGTTCCCTAAATCTCTGCCACACATCGAACTGGAATAGGCTAGGACTGTCATCGTGTCTAAATTTAACATCAACGACAAGCCCTTTTGTTAAAGTATTTCAGTTTTACTTAATTTGTGTGAATTACTCTGTGGCATGGTGGCTCAGTAGTTAATACTGCTACCTCACAACACCAGGGACCCTCCCACAGCCCAAAGATGTGCACATTAGCTCGATTGACCATGGTAAATCCAGGGATGTGCAGGTTAGGTAGGTTGGCCATCGGAAATGCAGGATTACAGGGATAGTGTGGGGATGGGTCCAGGTGGGATGCTGTTTGGAGGTTTGGTGTGGACTCATTGGGCTGAATGGCCTGCTTCTACACTGTAGGGATTCTATATATACCTCAATGAGGTCTCCTCAACCTCCTCTTCAGATCAAAGGGCTTGTGGGATTTGAAATGTTTCTTCAAATCAGTCCTTTTTTCCAATTGGGATCATTCCTTTGCCTGACGTTGCATCTTTTCTAAATCCTTTTCATAGCATGCAAACCAAAAACACACTCAATGTGAGATGTGCCAGTGTTAGAAAATCTCAAAATGGCTTCAGTACAGATTTTAGCATTCATTTTGAAAGAGCTAGAATATAACCGCAGTTATGTACTGCTAAGGTTGTATGGGGCTCTGATCAGATCACATTTGGAATATTGTGAGCAGTTTTGGGCCCCGAGTCTACAGAAAGATGTGCTGGCCTTGGGGAGGTCCAGAGGACATTTACAAAAATGATGAAGGGGATGAAGGGCTTGTCATATGAGGAGCGTTGACAGCTCCTGAGTTTGTACCTGATGGAGTTGAGTAGGATGATGGGGGAATCTGATTGAAACTTACAGGATACTGAGATGCCTGGATAGAGTGGATGTGAAGATGATTCCACTAGTAGGATGCGAGGGCACAGGCTCGGAGTGAAGGGTTTTAGAACTGACATGAGGCTGTGCCCTCGTATCCTGGTCTCGCTTACTGGCGGAAACATCTCCACATCGACACTATCCAGGAATCTCAGTATCCTGTAAGTTTCAATTAGAACTGAGATGAGGAGGAATTTCTTCAGCTAAAGGGTGGTGAATCTGTGGAACTCATTGCCACAGAAGGCTGTTGAGGCTAAGTCATTCTGTATATTTAAGACAGAGATAGATAGGTTCTTGATTAGTAAGAGGATCAAAGGTTACAGGGAGAAGACAAGACAATTTTTTAAAAATTCATTTGTGAGATGTGGGTGAGGTTGAATAGTCAGCATTTATTGCCTTCCCCAGTAGCCTTGAGAAGGTGGTGGTGTTCTGCCTTCTTGAACTGCTGCAGTCTACATACGGTAGTTAGACCCTCAATGTCCTTAGGGAGGGAATTCCAGGATTTTGACAGTGAAGGAATGGCAATATATTTCCAAGTCAGAACAGTAAGTGACTTGGGAGGGGAACTTGGAGGTGGTATGTTCCCATGTATCTGCTGTGCTTGTCCTTCTAGATGGAAGTGCTCAAGTTTTAGAAGGTGCTGTCTGAGGATCTTTTGATGAATTTCTGGTGTACCTTGTAGATAGTACACATTGCTGCTACTGAGCATTTGGTGATGGGGGAGTGGATGCTTGTGGATGTATATCAATCAAGCAGGCTGCTTTGTCCTGGATGGTATAAAATTTCTTGAGTGTTGTTGGAGTTGTACCCACCAGGAAAGTGGGAAGTATTCCATCACACTCCTGACTTCTGACTTGTAGATGGCAAACAGGCTTTGGGAGTCAGGAGATGAGTTACTCACTGTAGTATTCTTAGCTTCTGACCTGTTTTGGTAGCCAGTGTTTATGTGGAGAGTCCAGTTGAGTTTCTGTTCAACGATAATGGCCTGGATGTTGATAGTGGAGGATTCAGTGGTGTTACCATCACTGAATGTCAAGGGGCAGTGGTTGGATAGTCTCTTATTGGTGATAGACATAGCTGGGCATTTTTCGCAAGAATATTAATTGCCACTGGTCAGCCCAAGCCTGGATACTGTCAGGTCTTGTTGCATTTGAACACGGACTGAGAACTATATCAGCTATGATCAAACGGCAGAGCAGACTTAATGGGATGAAATGGCCTAATTCTACACCAACATATCATTGTCTACCCGTGTTCTTGCTGTCAAACAACCATCTTTACTCCCAGCTCGTTGGCTGGGGAGTAATGTCCAAACACTCTCCTGTGTAGCTGCCCAGCTCAATCTCACAAATCGCTACTCAAATGTGCTTATAGAGCAGGGGTGAGGTCAGAGACAGTCTTTCACTCAGTGCCTGTCCCTGACCTTAGCTTTTCAATGTCCTTTTGTTCGACTCTGAGTGAAACTTGTTTTGCTAATTTCTGAGAAATGTTTACAGAATTTATAGGGAGCTTGTTTGAGCTGTACACTGACTCTAGTCCTCTCTTGCTATCACTGCTGATCGTATTCTTAAAATAAATCTTGACATTTCTGTGTTATTTTATTGGTTCGCTAGAACAATAACCTTACCTTCTGGTTTCTCCTGAAGCTTCCATTTCACGGCGTATTCACAGTTCTCATAACTCCCACCTGACTCTACTGCAATCAGACAAAACACCGTGAGCAGCAACATTCCAAACTGTTCGTAATATTGACAATGTCCATAAGCTGCACCTACCAGATGTATGACTCTCAGTTTTCCTGATCTCCACATTTTCATATGAAGTTGAATCATCATCTTCAGGAAAAAATAAAACAAGGTCACGCTATATCACAGAAAACCCAAAGAACATGCAGTCATTCAGTTTCACAACTGCACTGGATTTCAGCACCAAGATTGGAAACAAGGTCATACTAACAAGGGTAGGACAGAGGAGGACCAACACTGTTCAAGTTTCTGAGGTCTGAATCCCAAATGTGAACCTTAGCCCCATCTTTATCGGCTACACTGTATTGAGTGTGGGATTTTCAATACCGGGGAGGATCTCACAGATTCATATTCTGCAGAGTGCATTTGCCAAAATGCAGGATACGGGGGAATGAAACTAATCAGAGAGCTCTGTCAAACAGCCAGCACTAGCAGGTGGGCTGAGTGGTCTCGCTCCATGATTCTGAGAAGTTGGCAAATCTATGTCCAAGGTTTACATGATGTAGCATTTTTAAAATCTAAGTCAATATGAATTGTTTAAAGGTCTGCATTGATTTAATTCCATCTATAAAGTATCCATCTGGAAGAATTATGCTTATTGAAAGATTATGTTCAGGTGAAACAGGGGCAATTTGTTGATCTAATGTAGAAGTCAGTTCCTCTTGTATCCAACAGTGCTATCGCCTGCCCTATACTAATCTTTGCGCTTAGAGCTCCATCTAATGGCCAGATACAGAATTGATCAGAACAAGTTGATACCTGCTCAAACTACCAGTGGAACTGCAGTCAAGTTATGAAAACATGTTGTTTTTCAAATCGGTACTTTTTATGGGAATAACCTACTTTAGGCATCTGAGGCAAGGTGACCATGTTTAAAAATGTTTCAAACATAAATCATGGCTATTTCACTGAATGAGTGAGCTTGCAAGATTATGGGTATATAGGGAGGAAAGAGAATGGCATTGATTGGACTGCTTTAGAGATGCCTAGCCTGGATCCCATGGGCCAAATGGCTTGCTCTGGGCACATGGTTCCACTGTTCAAATGAACTGGAATATGCCAGAAGGTTTCAACACATGTTCCAAAGCCAAAGACAGTCAGCATCAGGAATCCTCTAATTATCATCTCCTCCTAGCCCACAGGCACAGAGCCTCAAACAGAATTGGGATCAAACTTTAGGACTTGGATCAGAAGTGTACAGGGTATTGTCTTTCCCCCATTAGGTTGGAAGAGTCCAAACGCTCAGCCAAATCCAATCCGATTCAAACTGGCCAGCTACAAATTACAGCAGGATGTAACTGAACAGAAACATCTAACCATCAGGAAGGATACTGGGCTAATAATGGGCATCCCACACCCACTAACTGGGACACTCCCTCCAGGAGCAGGAAGAGACTTGGGTTACTACAGAAACCAAAGACAAAGTGTGACCGGACGGAGACAGGAGTACTTGTGACAGTGGGAGGGATATGAGATCTCACTGCAACCCCATTACCAACACTAAGGGGGTCCCAGCAAATGATATTCTCACTTCTCATCTGCTAAGGGATTGATGGGCTGAATGGCCTCTTTCTTTGCCAAAATGATGCTCTGACCCACTGATCTTGAAAAATCTTCTACCTGTAAGGAGGGTTTTGTCACCTACTTCCCAATCCTCTTACTGATGAGCAGAATGCACTGGACAAAACCAACTGCCCAAGGAGTAAAGTTTGATACTGGGCATTGCAAGTTTTATAACATTTAGGTTATTTCAACAGTGGGATTTTCTAAAGTACATATAATCCTTGTGTGTTGGTGATTTTTCCATGAATTAAATCTCCAGAATGTAAATCTTAAATCACAAAAAGATTATTAAGCAAATTACCACATACAACTAAACAGAAGTAACAAGGAAAATAATTTGGAACCATCTAGAAAACCTTATCTTCTATGTTTCTAAAGTAACTTCAACATTCCCATCTTCCAGACTCTGACAATCAACTCCCAAGTGTCAGCTTTAGCTCAGTGGGAATCACTCTTAGCTCCAAAGTGGATGATATTAGGTTCAACCCCACTCCAGAGAGCCGAGCCTGTCAACAAGGCTGATGCTTCAGTAGCAGTACTGAGGGAGGGTTGTGCAGCCTCAGATGCTGTTTCACAGCTAAGGTTCTTAGCAAACAGTACCCCTGGCTAAGATTTCTCACTCTACCAGCATTAAAAACATATTATTGCATCAAGGCTGTTTGTGGGACCTCGCTTTTTGCAACCTGGCTGCTGTGTTTGCCAACATAATGGCTACCCTTTGTTGGTTGAATGCAGGTGGAAAGTCCCCAGGACTCATTGCTGATCTATAACTACAAGTTCTTTTTCTTTCATGGGTTTTCAGGGGAAATGAAACTGCCTCATATCAATCTGGAACGCCAGTTTGAACCTGTTACCTCCCATTCTACCATCTGTACTTCTTTCAAATGGTGCTCAAATGGACAAGAGAACTGTAGTTTATAATCAATAGGTTTCCTTGCCTATGTTTGGCCTGATGCTGTGAAATTTTATTGTGTCCAGCATCAATGCTAAGGACTTCTGTGCCTTCCCTCTTCTAACTGCTCACTGCTGTAATGCTCTGCCCAACTAGTGGGACTGGATGCACCCACCACTGATGTTAGGTGAAAGTGACGGGAAAGTCTCAGACTTGAGTACAAGTTATGGGCCTTTACAGCTCCCTCAGAATTTTGTAAAGTGTTTCCCTAGGGGAGTCATCTAGACTCATTAGCTTGCTTTCTCTCCATGGATGTTGCCTGACCCGCTGTGATCTCTAGCATTTTTTGTTTTCACTTTAAGAAGGTATTTGCATCCAGATCTTTGGGAGTAAAGTAGAATCAAGATGCATTTCTCTTCCGTATATCAGATTCCAATTTAAGACTTGAGGAGTGGGAACTTTACCATTTGAACCCTTTATTCACACTCCATTATTTGTTAGTAGGCATATTTGTTTTTGAAGCACGTGATTTTTCCACTTGGAGGGAGTCCAAAACCGGGGTCATAAATGAATAAAGTGATTAAATCCAATAAGAAATTTAAGATGAAACATCTTTACCAAGAAAGTGGTTAAAATTTGGAGATTTCTGTCACATAAAAGTAGTTGAGATAAATGGCATTTTTAAAAGAGAAATTACATAGCTACATTCAGAAGAAAGAACATGATAGAGTGAGCTGAACAGGGTTACAGGAAGCTTGTACATAGACCAGTTAGGCCAAGTGACCTCTTTCTATAAGCTCTGTGATATTCCCTCCCTAAGGCACTGTGTGTCTACCTACAGCACATGGATTGTAGTAGTTCAAGAAGGCAGCTCACCACCACCTTCTCAAGGACAACTAGGGATGGGCAATAAATACTGGCCAGCCAGCAGCACCCACATCCCACGAGTGAATTGTGCCATTATTTAAGAAAGGCTGCAAGGAAAAGCCAGGGACTACAGACCAGTGAGCCTAATGTCAGCGGTGGGTAAGTTGTTGGAGGGGATTCTATCCAGGATCTACATGGATTTGGAAAGACAAAGACTAATTTGGGATAGTCAGCTGGCTTTGTGCATGGGAAATCATATCTCACAAATTTGATTGAGTTTTTTGAAGAGGTAACCACAGATGAAGGCAGAGCAGCAGACGTAGTCTACATGGACTTTAGCAAAGCCTTCAACAAGGTTCCACATGGTAGTAACCTTAGATCACATGGGATCCAGGGAAAGCTAACTAATTGGATGCAAAATTGGCTTGATGGTAGGAAACAGAGTGGTGGTACAGGGTTGTTTTTCAGACTGGAGGCCTGTGACCAGTGGTGTGCTACAAGGATTGATCCTGGGTTCATTGTTGTTTGTCATTTATACAAAACAATTTGGATGAGAATACAGGAGGCATGATTAGTAAGTTTAAGGATGACACCAAAATTGATGGTATAGTGGACAGTGAATATGGTTATCTAAGATTACAAGGATCTTGATCAACTGGGCCAGTGGGCTGAGGAATGGTAGATGGAGTTAAATTCAGATAAATGCAAGGTTTGCATTTTGGTAAGTCAAACCAGGGCAGGACTTACACAGTTAATGGTAGAGCCCTGGGGAGCGTTGTCAAACAGGGAGACCTAAGGGCGCAGGTACATTGTCTACCTGTAATGCCACTTTCAAGGAACAGAGTGGTGAAGAAGGTGTTTGGCACACTTGCCTTCGTCAGTTACAGCATTGAGTATAGGAGTTGGATCGTCATGTTACAACTGTACAAGACATTGGTTCGGCCACATTTGGAATATTGCGGAGAATTCTGGTCACCCTGCTTTAAGAAGGATGTTACTAAAATGGAAAGAGTGCTAAAAAGATTTACAAGAATGTCACCAAGATTGGAAGGTTTGAGTTATAAGGAGAGACTCAATAGGGTGGGACTTTTATCCCTGGAGCGTAGGAGGTGAGGGGTGACCTTATAGAGGTTTATGAAATCATGAGGGGCATAGATAAAGTTAATAGCCAAGGTCTTTTCCTCAAGGTCCAAAACTAGAGGGCACAGGTTTAAAGTGAGAGGGGAAAGATTTAAAAAGGACCCGAGCGACAACTTTTTCACATAGAGGATGCTGTGTATATGGAACAAGCTGCCAGAGGAAGTGGTAGACATGCTTATGATTACAACATTTAAAAGATAGGCATATGGAGAGGAATTGTTTAGAGGGATGTGGGCCAAACACAGACAAATGGGACTGATTCAGTTTAGGAAACCTGGTCAGCATGGATGAGTAGGGCAAAAGGGCCTGTTTCTGTGCTGTGTAACTCTATGACTCTCTATGGCCTCAATTACAATTATGGTCTCAAAATAATACACCTAACACACAGTAAGATCTGAGTTAATATCGGCTGGAACTTACCATGAGGAGGTTTGAGATATTCCGCAGGGAAGCAATAATATTCTGCAGCTAAAGGATTTCTGCCAAATATAATAAATGGCAGGAATTAGACTCAAAGCATTCCTAAACAAATAAACTATAATTGTGAACAAGTGGAATTAAATCCAAAAAAACAGCGTAAGCTGAACAAGTGCTGTCTCTGTAACTGGGATTCCAGTGCAAATCAAGCTAGTTCTGTCTCTGTATCATTGCTACACCTCTAAAGAAATTCAGACCAGTTTATATCAGACAGAATGTAAACAGTGACTTACATGTAATTCTGCTCATGTTCATATTGGTTTGCTGGAAGAGAACAGAACTTGTTACATTATTGTGGTAGTTTCTACAGATGGCGCTCTGCCAACCAACATTCTATCAGGATGCTCAGAAACTACATTAGAACAAACTGAAGATGTACGGAACCAGCAACAGAATATAATGGTCTGCGGCAAGGGCACTGTTGGCAACAATCTGCCAAAGATTCAGATAAGAAATAAACAAATTTGCACTTCAACAGTAATGTTCCCCTCCATCAGCCACTCGCTATACTGACATGGAACTGTATTGCCTGCCATTCCTTCAGTATCATTGGATCAAAATCTGGAACTCCCTCCCTGACAACATTGTGGAAATCCCTGCCTAGTCCAGGGACTGCAGCAGTTAGAAAGGCAGCTCAGCACCAACTCCTCAAAGATAATTAGTAATGGTGTACAAGGGTTGGCCAAGCCAGCAATCCCCACATCCCATGAAACATTACAAGAAAACATGGTAATATCTCTGGACTAGGAATCGAGCTAATGCTTTGCAGACACATTTTCAAATCTCACCATGGCAACTGGTCATACTCAAAACAATAAAATCTAGAATTAGAAGCTAGTCTCAATGATGGTGACCATGAAACTACTGTCAATTGTTGAAAAGGCCTATCTGGTTTACTAATGTCCTTTAAAAGGGAAACCTGCAGACTTTACATCTACATATAACTCCAGACCCACAGCAATGTGGTCATCTCTTACAAGCCACTCAGTTCAGGGACAATTAGGGACACTCAACAAATTACCTCTTAAATGTATATCTTGGGTGGCCTCAAGATCAGAGATGGTTGAACTGGGAACTAGTCATACAGACAGAATGATCTAAGCTACTTTGTGTACAGTAAACCTGACAGTAATCTTCCTGGGTTAAAAGAAGTCTGTATGTAAGTAAGATTACCTCTTGCTGTGTGCCCTTGTCCTACACTCAATCTATAATTTAAAGAAACATTCTTTACCATTTACTATCTTGCATTTCTCTATAACTTCTCAGATGCAGCTTTTCTAGTAGGTCCTATGTTGTACTTTGACCATGATGTGGAGGTGTCGGTGTTGGACTGGGGTAGACAATGTCCAACAGGTTTATTTGAAATCACAAGCTTTCGGAGCATAGCTCCTTTGTCAGGTTAAGTGAGGGACAAGCCAAAAGATCATACAAATGGTGTGAGTGGAATACTGAATAAGAAGTCTCTGCGGGTGATCAAGAGTGTCAGATGGTATGAGTAAAGTATCAACAGCCGTATACAAGCAAAGGGATGACCTATAATCTGATTAAATGAGGCAGAGAGATAATTACAAAAAATTAAAAATAAGGTGGTGCTGAAGACAAACTAAGTGACTGGAATAACAAGGTGTGGAGCTGGATGAACACAGTAGGCCAAGCAGCATCAGAGGAGCAGGAAAGCTGATGTTTCGGGTCGAGACCCTTCTTCAGAAATGGGGGAGGCCAAGGGTATCAATGTGGACTTCACAAGCTTCAAAATCTCCTCTCCCCCGACCGCATCCCAAAACCAGCCCAGCTCATCCCCGCCTCCCTAACCATTCCTCCCACCTCAAGCCCCACCCCATCTCCTACCCACTAACCTCATCCCGCCTCCTTGACCTGTCCGTCCTCCCTGGACCGACCTATCCCCTCCCTAACTCCCCACCTACATTCACCTTTACTGACTCCAACCCCGCCTCTATGACCTGTCTGTCTCCTCTCCACCTATCTTCTCCTTTATCCATCTTCTATCCACCCCACCCTCTCTCCCTATTTATTTCAGAATCCCCTTCCCCTCCCCTATTTCTGAAGAAGGGTCTCGACCCGAAACGTCAGCTTTCCTGCTCCTCTGATGCTGCTTGGCCTGCTGTGTTCATCTAGCTCCATATCTTGTTATCTCAGATTCTCCAGCATCTGCAGTTCCTACTATCTCTGACTGGAATAACATGATAGGTATAAACAGTCACATACCAAAGTAATAAGTAATGCAAAACTGTACAAACTAATTTAGAGAGATCATAACAATTTATCAAGGTGATGTCAAAACAGGACATGAAGCAAGATTTTATAGATACAGAACAACATATCTCCAGAAGGCCGCAGCCCTCAGCTCGACATGTATGCTCAAGCCATCAGGAGATGCGTTAATGCCAGATTCATTAGCCGTGCTCACAAGATAGCGCAGAATATCACCCAGGCACAATGCAACACCGTCCATGCTCTCAAGACCAATCACAACGTTGTCATCAAACTATCAGACAAAGGAGGAGCCATCGTCATACAGACTAGAATGGACTACCTGCAAAGAAGTATACCGATAACTGAACAACCAGGAACACTACAGACAACTACCTGCCAATCTGACCAAAGAACACACCCTTGAACTCAACAAGCTGATCAAGACCTTTGATCCAGTCCTTCAGAGTACCCCACACACTCTCATCCCACATACTTCTCGCGTAGGGGACTTCTACTGCCTTCTGAAGATACGCAAAGCCAATTCGGCTGAACGTCCCATCGTATCAGGCAATTGGACCCTGTGTGAGAACCTCTGTGGCTATGTCGAGGGCATCTTGAAGCCCACTGTACAAGGAACACCCAGCTTCTGTTGCAACACTACAGATTTCTTACAGAAACTCAGCACCCACAGACCAGTCAAACCAGGACCATTCCTTGCTACAATAGTCGTTTCAACACTCTACACCAATGACCCTCATGATGATGGCATTGCTGTTACAACCTCAGCACACAACACCAACAATTGTCAATTTCCAGAGGCCATCCTATATCTCATCCACTTCATCCCTGACAACAACGACTTCACCTTCGACAACCAGTTCTCCATCTAGATCATGGAACAGCCATGGGGACCAAATTTGCTCCTCAATATGCCAACATTTTCATGCACAAGTTCGAGCAAGACTTCTTTGCTCCACAGGACCTCCGGCCAACACTATACACCAGATACACTGACGACATTTCTTCCTTTGGACTCATGGCGAGTTACTACTGAAACAACTACATAGCGATATCAACAAGTTTCACCTCACCATCAGACTTACCATGGACTACTCTTCAGAACAAGACTCATTCTTGGACACACGCATCTCCATCAAGAATGGACACCCCAGCACCTCAGTCTACCGCAAGCCCATAGATAACCTCCCAATGCTGCACTTCTCTTGCTTCCATCCTAAACATATTAAAGAAGCCATCCCCTACGGACAAGCCCTGTGCATACACAGGATCTGCTCAGATGAGGAGGACCGCGACAGGCACCTAATGATTTTGAAGGACATCCTCAATAGAACAGGATACGATGCTCAATTTAATTGATTGCCCATTCTGACGTGCCACAGCGAAAAACCGCAATGGTCTCTTCAGAAGACAGATATAGGATAAGACCAACAGAGTACCCTTCGCCATCCAGTACTTCCCTGGAGCGGAGAAACTACGCCATGTTCTTCACAGCCTACAACATGTCATTGATGACGATGAGCACCTCACCAAGATCATCCCTACGCCTCCCTTTCTCACCTTCAAACAACCGCCAAACTTTAAACAGACCATTGTTCGCAGCAAACTACTCAGCCTTCAGGACAACATTGACCACAACACCACACAACCCTGCCATGGCACCCTCTGCGAGACATGTCAGATCATTGACACGGACACTACCATCACACGTGGGAACACCACCCACCACATACACAGCAGATACTTGTCTTGGCCAATGTTGTCCATCTCATATGCTGCAGGCATAATGCCCCAAGGCATGGTATATTGGCGAGACCATGCAGACGCTACAACGTCGTATTGAATGGACACTGCGCAACAATCACCAAACAGGGATGTTCCCTCCCAAGTGGGGAACACTTCAGCGGTCAAGGGCATTCAGCTTCCAATTTTTGGGTAAGCATCTTCCAAAGTGGCCTTTGAGATAGACAACAACGCAGAATCGCCGAGCAAAAACGGATGGCCAAGTAAAGTACCCACAAAGACGGCCTCAACCATGATCTTGGGTTCATGTCGCATCACACTGTTCTATATCTGTAAAATCTTCCTTACTGTCCTGTTTTGACACCATCACCTTGATAACTTGTTATGATCTCTCTATCCTAATTAGATTGTATAGTTTTGGATTACTTATGACTTGGTTAGACCATCGGCATGCAACTCTCACACCTATCATGTTATTCCAGTCATTTGGTTTGTCTCCAGCACTACTTTATTTATAATTTTTTCTAATTATCTTTCTGCCACATTTAATTGGATTATGGGTCATCCCTTTGCTTGTTCATCAGCTATTGACACTTTACTCACACCATCTAACACTTTTGATCACCTGCAGAGACTTATAATTTGACACTCCACTCCATTTGTATGATGTTTTGATCTCTCTGCCCTTGACCTATCTGCCCATAAATCTGTGCTCTGTATGTTTCTCTCTCAATTCACCTGATGAAGGGGCTATGCTCCGAAAGCTTGTGATTTCAAATGAACTTGTTGGACTATAACCTGGTCTCATGTGACTTCGTACTTTGACCAAAACTGGACACAGCTATCAAGGTGAAGGAGCAAGTTACTGCAAATGCTGGAATTGTTACACAAATGTTGCCCCCTCCACACTTTATGTCAGTTCTGACGAAGAGTCATCTAGACTAGAAACATTAGCTTGCTCTCTCTCCATGTATGCTGCCTGACCCACTGTGATTTCCAACTTTTTTTGCTCTCAGGGTGGATTTGCCTGGTGTTGAGTTGGATCTAGCCAGTGCTTTGAACGGATGAACTCTTCTAAATCTTTTTCTGGATTTGGAAACAAAAGTGATATGATCGACATTCAGAGTTAAAGCTATGATTCACAGTGGTTACCAATTACTTGCCCTCACTTGCACTCTGCTACAGCACTCCAGAAATCATTTACTTACCAATAGCTAGGTTGCCGTAGCTTGGTGGGCTGCCTGAAGCTGTTAGGAAAGAGAGTGGAGTTTAATATGGCACAGCAAGTGTTAAAGCAGTAAAGTCCTGCCACTGTGCATTTGTGCTCCTAGAAAATGTCATAATTGGCACATGCACAGTACACAATTTTACTCTAAGTAGTACATTTTTGCTTTCCTGTTTCTTTAGAACTGCACATAAGCGAAGATTAGTTTCAAAGCCAGTGAAAAGTTAAATATCAAGTGTTGCACAGACAGGTAAATTCGAGATAAATGGGCACACAAATATCAGGACTTTTTGTTTTCTGTTCCCAGCCTCAATTTTTCTTAAACCCTTTCCTGAAGGATTGCTGTACTCCAGTTCCCTAGGTAATGACTTCTCCCCACTGCTTGTTAATTTTCCCATCTTTCACATTCAACTGTCAGTATTAAGCACTGGTGGGGCATTTGACTATGTAGAACATCAGCACAATACTCACCTCTAGAAAATCACCAATTAGGAATGACAGCTCTGAACATATCTTAAAGGAGATATGCAAAAGATGGGCTAATGAAGTGTTGACTCTTGTTTCTTTATAGGAACAGGAGGAAATGATTCAGCCCATTAAGCCTGTTCCACAATTCAGAAATCTATCGATCTCAATCTTAAATTAACAACTGACCCATCATCGATTGCTGTATGCAAAGACTGTATCAAACTTCTACCACCTTTTGTGTGTGGAAGCACTTTCCAATTCAGTAAGATCTGGCTACAATTCTGCACCAAGTTTTCTGAGCCTGGTCTCCTCAGTTAGTGGAAATACTGTTTCTGTCTGGTCAATTTCTTCCCCTCAGTTTAAAAATTTCATTCAAATCACCCGTTAACTTTTTAAACTCCAGGAATACAACCCTAGTTTGTGTAATCTCTTCTTAGTGTAAATCTTATCTGCATTCTCTTCAAGGCCAATATACCCTTCCTAAGATATGGTACCCAGGACAACTCTCAGTTCTCCAGGTGTGGCCAAACAAAGGCTTTGCATTGTTTTCATATGACTTGTACTAACCCCTTGCATTCTAATCCTCCCAATGTAAAGACTAGTATTGAATTAGGATTTTTGGCTATTTTCTGCATCCATCCATGAAATTATGATGATCCATGTTTGTGGACTCTAAGTCTCTCTCAGCCTTTTAGATAGTATCCTGTACATCTCCAAACAGAATTGCCTCAAACTTGCCTATGTTCAATTACCACAGTTTTGCCCACTCACTTAATCTATCAATAGCCCCTTGTAAGTTTATGCTTCCATCCATACTGTCATCTTTCTTCAAGTCATAGAAAACTTGAATATGTTTTTCTCATCCCATCAGTGAATTAGTTGACAAATACATTGAATAAGAGAGGCCCCAACAGAGATCCTTGCAGGGCACTACCAGTCACTGCTGCCAATGCGAGTTGCCTGTTCATGATCCTGACTCTCTGTCTCCTGCCACTCAGTCAATTTCCAAACCAGATTAATAATTTACCTTCAATTCCATGAGCTTCACCTTAACTGACAGGCTACTATGAGGATCTTTATCAAATAATTTCCCGCAATGTGTAGAACATCGAACATAGAACAGTACAGCACACTACAGGCCCTTCGTCCCACGATGTTGTGCCGAACATTTACCCTAAACTTAAGGTCTATCTAACCTCCACCCCTACCTTATACTATCATTGATTTGCCTATCTAATAGCCGCTTAAATGTCCCTAATGAGGCTGACTCCACTACCTTCTCCAGCAATGCATTCCACGCCCCCACCACTCTCTGAGTAAAGAACCTACCTCTGACGTCTCCCCTACATCTACCTCCACTCACTTTAAAACTGTGCCCCCTCGTAATGGCTACCTCCACCCTGGGAAAAAGTCTCTGGCTATCCACTCTATCTACACTTCTGATCATTTTGTACACCTCTATCAAGTCACCTCTCATTCTTCGTCGTTCTAAAGAGAAAAGCCCTAGCTCTCTCAACCTTTCCTCGTAAGACCTTCCCTCCATTCCAGGCAACATCCTGGTAAATCTCCTCTGCACCTTTTCCACACCTTTCCTGTAATGAGGCGACCAGAACTGGACACAATACTCCAGATGTGGCCGAACCAGGCTTTTGTATAGCTGGAGCATAACTTCACAGCTCTTGAACTCAATCCCTCTATTAATGAAAGCTAACACACCATACACCTTCTTAACAACTCTATCCACCTGGGTGGCAGCTTTCAGGGAACTGTGGACATGAACCCCGAGATCCCTCTGCTCCTCCACACTGCCAAGAATCTTTCCATTAACCCTGTATTCTGTTTTCAAAGTTGTCCTTCCAAAATGAATCTCCTCACACTTTTCAGGGTTAAACTCCATCTGCCACTTCTCAGCCCAGCTCTGCATTCTATCAGTGTCCCTTTGTAACCTAGAACAGCCCTCCGCACTATCCACAACTCGACCCACCTTCATATCGTCCGCGAACTTACTAATCCACCCTTCCACTCCTTCATCCAAATCATTTACAAAAATCACAAATAGAAGAGGACCCAGAACAGATCCTTGTGGTACACCACTCGTAACTGAACACCATTTTGAATATTTTCCGTCCACTACCACCCTTTGTCTTCTAAGGGTCAGCCAATTCTGAATCCAATCTGCCACGTTTTCCCCTATCCCGTGCCTCCTTACTTTCTGCATGAGCCTACCATGGGGATCCTTATCAAATGCCTTACTTAAATCCATGTATACCACATCCACTGCTCTACCTTCATCCACGTGTTTGGTCACCTCTTCAAAGAATTCAATAAGGTTTGTGAGGCATGATCTACCCCTCAAATAACATCCACTGCCCCTCCCGCTACTTCAAACACCTCTTGAAAATCTTCAGCTCAGTTAGTCAGACACGACCTGTTGTAGAAATTCCTGCTGATGGTTTTCAAACAGCACTGTAAGATATCTTGAATCGCCCGATCCTTAATTATTTCAGAGCATGCCTGCCCAACTGGCATGCCAGGAGGTAGCTGGTAGTCCCCAGGAAGTAGCTGTTTGTGACCTGCCGGGCTGGTCTGAGATACAAACAGGGACAGGAAAGTGGATCTGAAATTTACTGTAGATCTGTTCGCCCCAATCACAGGCCAATATTCTCCTGCATTTGCTGCTGTTGGGTTCACTGTGATTGGAGGAGGAGCAACAGTGAGATTGCTCCTTGGTTCCCATTGGGTCCATTCTTTCTCCACTTCTGGCCAAACTCTCTCTTGCCATTCCTCACACGTGCGTCTCCCTGAAGGTGCACGAGATGGCAGCACAGACCTGGCCAGAGAGGTCACAGCACCCACCCTTCTGCCTGGGACATATGGAGTATCACCTACGAAGGAAGAATCTCCACATCTTCACTGCCATTCCCACATCAGTAAAATGGTCAAACCTCACAAACCTAGGGAGAGGGAGTCAGTGTGGGAGGGAGGGAAGGAGAGAGTTTATGTGGAAGTGAGCAAGAGTAAATGAGACCTTGAGTCTGAGAGTGAACCAGTCACATGCACATGCACCCACCATTCCCCACAAAATAGCCTGGGAGAAAAGGAAAACCCAGACTCAAAGGCGATCCGCTTCACGAGGTGCCCCGAATGTTTGTATGAATTCTGCCAAGCCCAGTACAAAGTGTGTCCCACCAGGGGAGAAGGTGAGGTCAATGATTGTTCAACCTAAAGTACTAGCTCAGCCCTGGTCCCCACCCTCTTCCCTGGTGATCAGGGCTTTGGGGTCTAGTCTGTCTCTCTCTCTCAAGTTCTGCTTCCGGTGAAAAACAGAATTGAAAAAGAATTATTGATTAGCTTTCCTGCTTGGTAGTTTTCTTAAATGATCAATTTATTTATTTTAATTTTTTTAATACATGAAGAATGTTGTGCCAAACCTTATCTTTCCCAACTTTGCCCATTGATTGAGAAAGAAAATTGAGAAAGAAACGTGGTCCCTCATGCAGAAAGTTTGCACATCCTTGTTTTAGATTCTAGTAATTCCCTAGATTCTCTCTCACTTCTAAACTGCAGAGCGACGTGTGTAAATTTTATGGAACAGCTCCTTACTTAAGTGACATTCCACCTCTGATAGTCTAGGCTCACTAACACTGCAGTTATACTTGAAGGATCAGGATAAAGTTTTTGGCAAGTATGAGAGGCATAAGGCATGCAGAGAAAATGTGGCAAAGGACAGACTTTCAAAAAGGGAGCAAGTTTGAGGAAAGAAAGTCAAAAGACATAGAGCAAGAGACATCAAGGCAACAAGGAGAAAAATAAAATGAAATAGAAACAATACGAGAAAGACAGACAACACGTGAAGGTAGGGTGAATGTGACAGAAGATGTGAGAGGACAAGATGCAAGCAGAGTTAGAGACACTTCAGATATTTTTTGCCTGTGAATAATCTTGATGATCTGCCATCACTAACTAACTCATGGACTGCCCTGGGGATGGAACTCAGAATCTCTTTCATACAAACCTGGTGGAACTTGTGAAAGTGAATGATGTGTGGCAGCCACATTCCTGAAAGAGGTTAGAAGCATATTATTAAAGATCAATAAATTATTTCCTATACTTAGCAAGTCCATAAATGCAGCAGCTCAAACCAATAATGTACATACACACACACACTTAATGTTCTTACAGCTGGTCAACTCAAGGGGGAGAACATTTAAGGTTTTTGTTTACATTATTGACTTTATTTTGCACTATGTTTCTTACCCCATTGCTGGTTCTGGCCTTGGTGTTTGTTCTGGTCGAGATACTTGGAAAAAAAAGACAATATTTTCTCAATTAAAAAAGTTAAAAAGCTCAATAATGACATAGCATCTTATGATATTGGTAACCTATAACAATAGTATAACATCTCAAAGTTCTTCATGTATTAAACCTAAAAATGAAGCCTTGTGCTTTTCTTGATCTCAAGATGACCAAACTGCTTTGTAGACAAGAATAAAGAACATAATTGGGAGCAGGAGTAGACTATTAGGCCCCTTGAGCCTGCTCTATTATTCACTGCAATCATGGATGATCTCCTGCCTCAGCTCCTCTTTCCTGGCCACTCCCCACAGCCTTGCTTTCTTAAGAATGTTGGTCTCAGCCTTTAATATATTCAGTGATGTAGCTTCCACAACGCTCCAAGTAGAAAAAGCCAAAGATTCAAACCCTTAACTGAAGAATCCTAAATGATCAGCTCCATATTTCGAGACTGTGGCCCTGTGTTTCAGACTCTCCAACCAGGGAAATCACCTCTTAATGTCAACCCTATCAAAACCTTTCTGATTCTCATATTTTCAATGAGATCACTGATTATTCTTCTGAACGCCAAAGAATACCAGTACAATTTATTCAGCCAAGGACTCTCTCATCCCAGGTACCAAAGTAATGATTCTTAGCAATACTGCCTCTGATGCAAGTGAGCTTTGTCGTAAATTCGGTACAAAAGGAAGATCATGTCATCGAGGCAGAAGACATAGATGTTATGAAATGAAGCAATCAATGAGGAGTCACAGCAATAAAATAGCATCAAATAGAGTCATTGCGCTGTACAGCACGGAAACAGACTCTTCGGTCCAACTTGTCCATGCCAGCCAGATATCCTAAGTTAATCTAGTCCCATTTGCCAGCATTTGGCCCATATCCCTTTAAATCCTTCTATTCATATACCCACGCAGATGCCTTTTAAACATTGTAATTGTACCAGCCTCAACAACTTCCTCTGGCAGCTCATTCCATACATGCACTACCCTCTGCGTGAAAAAGTTGCCCCTTAGGTCCCTTTTATATATTTCCCCTCTCACCTTAACTATGCCCTCTATTTTTGGACTCCGCTGCCCTGGAGAAAAGACCTTGGCTATTGACCCTATCTATGACCCTCATGATTTTATAAACCTCTATGAGGTCAACCTCAGCCTCCGATGCTACAGGGAAAATAGCCCCAGCCCATTGAGCCTCTCCCGATAGCTCAAACCCTCCAACCTTGGCAACATCCTTGTAAATCTTTTGTGAACCCTTTCAACTTTCACAACATCCTTCTTATAGCAGAGAGACCAGAACTGAATGCAGTTTTCCAAAAATGGCCTAACCAATGTCCTTTACAGCCGCAACATGACCTCTCAACTTCTATACTCAATGCCATGACCAATAAAGGCAAGCATATCAAGTGTTGTCTTCACTATCCTGTCTACTTGCAACTCTACTTTCAAAGAACTATGAACCTGCACTCCAAGGTCTCTTTATTCAGCAACATTCCCCAAGACCTTACCATCACGTGTGTGAGTCCTGCCTTCATTTGCCTTTCCAAAATGCAGCACCCCACATTTAGCCAAATTAAACTCCATCTGCCACTCCTGGGCCTATCAGATCATCTGATCAAGGTCCCATTGTACTCTGAGGTAACCTTATTCGCTGTCCACTACACCACCAATTCTAGTGTCATCTGCAAACTCACTAACCATAACTCCTATGTTCACGTCCAAACTACTTATCTAAATGATGAAAAGCAGTGGACCCAGCACCAATTCTTGTGGCACACTGTTGGTCACAGGCCTCCAGTCTGAAAAGCAACCCTCCACCACTACCCTTTGTCTTCTACCTTCCAGCCAGTTATGAATCCAAATAGCTAGTTCTCCCTGTATTCCATGTGATCTAACCTTGGTAACCAGTTTACCATGTGGAACCTTGTCGAACACCTTACTGAAGTACGTAAAGATCACGTCCACCCCTCTGCCTTCATCAATCCTCTTCGTTACTTCTTCAAAAAACTCAGTTGTTAGTGAGACATGATTTCTCACACACAAAGCAATGCTGACTGTTCCTAAGCAGTCCTTGCCTTTCCAAATGCATGTAAATCCTGTCCCTCAGGATCCCGTCCAACAACTTACCCACCACTGATGTCAGGCTCACCGCTCTATAGTTCCCTGCCTTTTCCTTACCACCTGTTTTAAATAGTGGCCCCACATTAGCCAACCAGTACTTCACCTGTGGTTGTCGATGATACAAATATCTCAGCAAGCAGCCCAACAATCATTCCCCTTGCTTCCCACAACGTTTTAGGGTACATCTGATCAGGTACCGAAGATTTATACACCTCTATGCGTTTTAAAACATTCAGCACATCCTACTCTGTAATATGGACATTTTTCAAGATGTCACTATTTATTTCCCCAAGTTCTCTAGCTTCCATATCTTTCTCCACAGTAAACACTGATGCAAAATACTCGTTTAGTATTTCCTGCGGTTCCACACATTGGCGGCCCAGGTGATCTTAAAGGGGCCCTATTCTCTCCCTAGTTACCCTTTTGTCGTTAATGTATTTATAGAATCCCTTTGGATTCTCCTTAACCCTATTTGCCTAAGCTAATCAAGTCTTCTTTTTACCCTTCCTGATTTCCTTCTTAAGTATACTCCTACTGCCTTTATACTCTTCTAGGGAATCACTCGATTTTTGCTGTCTATATCTGACATATACTTCCTTCTTTTTCTTGACCAAAACCTCAATTTCTCTAGTCATCCAGCATGACCTACACCTACCAGCCTTACCCTTCATCCCAACAGGAACATACTGTCTCTGGACTCTTGTTGTCTTATTTTTGAAGGCTTCCCACTTTCCAGCTGTCTCTTTACCTGCAAATATCTGCCCCCAATCAACTTTTGAAAGTTCTTTCCAAATACCGTCAATATTGGCCTTCCTCCAATTTAGAACTTTAACTTTTAGATCTGGTCTATAATTTTCCATCACTATTTTGAAACTAATAGAATTATGGTCACTGACCCCAAAGTGCTCCCCCACACTGACACCTCAGTCACGTGCCCTGCCTTATTTCCCAACAATAGGTCAAAATTTTGCTCTTTTTCTAGTTGGTACATCCACATACTGTAGCAGAAAATCTTCTTCTACAAACTTAACAAATTCCTCTCCATCCAAGCCCTTAACACTATAGCAGTCCGAGTTTATGTTTGGAAAGTTAAAATCCATAACCACATTTTATATTCTTACACATAACTGAGATCTCCTTCCAAATTTGCTTCTAAATTTCCGGCTGACTATGGCTGGGGGGGGTGGGGGTCTAGTGCGGGGGGAGGGGTCTACAGTATGATCCTATTAAGGTGTTCATCCCTTTTTTATTTCTTAGTTCCACTCAAATAACTTCCCTGGACGTACTCCCAGGAATATCCTCTCTAAGTACTGCCGTAATGTTATCCCTTATCAAAAACGTCACTCCCCCTCCTATCTTGCGCCCCTTTCTATCGTTCTTATTGCATTTATACCATGGAGCATTAAGCAGCCAGTCCTGTCCATTCCTGAACCATATTTCTGTAATCATTATGAAATCCCAGTCCCATGTTCCCAACCATGCCCTAAGTTCATCTGCCTTACCTGTTAGGCCTCTTGCATTGAAATAAATGCAGTTTAATTTATCAGTCCTCCCTTGTTCCCTGCTTTGTTCCTGCCTGCCTTGACTGTTTGACTTGCTCCTTTTCCCAACTGCATCAGTGTCAGACTGATCTGTTATTTCACTATTTCCCTTGGAACAACACACCCCCCATCACCCAGTTTAAATCCTCCTGAGCAGCTCTAGCAAATCTCCCCACCAGTATATTAGTTCCCTTCCAATTCAGGTGCAATCCATCCTTCTTATACAGGTCACTTCTACCCCAGAAGAGATTCCAATGATCGAAAACTGTGACTTCTCCCCTACACCAGCTCCTCAGCCATGCACTCATCTGCTCTATCCTCTTATTTCTACCCTCACTAGCTCATGGCACTGAGAGTAATCGAGATACTACTACCCTCAAGGACCTACTTTTTAAACTCCTGCTAATTTCCTACATTCTCTCCTCAGAACCTTATCCTTTTCTCTTCCTATGTCATTAGTTCCAATGTGTACAACGACCTCTTGTTGGTCCCTCTCCCCTTTGAGAATATTCTGCACCCTCTCTGAGATATCCTTGATCCTAGCACGAGGGAAGCAACACACCATTCTGATGTCTCGCTGTCAGCTGCAGAAATGTCTGTCTGTACCTCTGACTAGAAAGTCCCCTATTGTAATCAATTGCTTGGAACCTGACGTACCCCTTGTTACATTAGAGCCAGTCTCGGTACCAGAAACCTGGCTGTCAGTGCTACATTCCCCTGAGAGTCCACCACCCCCTACATTTTCCAAGCATCCTCATTTGAGATGGGATAGCCACAGGAGATTCCTGCACTACCTGCCTACCCCTCCTACCCTTCCTGGAGGTAACCCATCTACCTGACTGTATTTGCGGTTTTTCTCCATTCCTGAAACTGCCATCCATCACAGCCCCTAGCCCCCGTAACTTCCTCATTGCCTTTAACTGCTGCTCCAACCGAGCCATGCAATCCAATAGGATTCGCAACCAAACACACTTCCTGCAAACATAATCATCAGTAACATGGAAACTCTCCCTAATCTCTCATATCCAACAGGAAGAGCACATCACTCTACTAAAGGCCATCTTTGCACCTTGACAATCTACAGACCCAGAAAATAGCACAGTCTTACTGCTCTAAAAACACTGCTCTACAATAACTTAGTACCTATGTTTTATATTTTTAAAGCTTACTCAAGAGACAAATCTCAATAAAACATATAATCAAAAAAAACCCCATTCACTATTGTAGATTTACAGAAAATAAACAGTAAGGTTACACGAGGTTGTAGACTTGCTCGCCGAGCCAGTGGGATTGGTTGCAGATGTTTCATCACCCTGCTAGGTAACGTTGTCAGTGCACCTCTGGTGAAGGGTTGGTGTTCTGTCCCACTTGTTATTTATATGCTTCGATAGAACGTAAGAACAACGGGGAACTCCAGACTAGCATATACAGGAAGACCACACATACAGACCAGATACTTAATTACACCAGCTACCACCTCAACACCCATAAACAGAGCTGCATCAGAACATTATTCAAATGAGCCACAACACACTGCAGCAACCTGGAACTACGCAAAGCAGAATAGGAGCACTTATATGGAGTTTTCAAAAGGAATGGGATACCCAAAAAGCACAATCTGCCGTTACCTCCACTACAGACCACAACAAGAGGACACAACACGGCCAGAGACACTAGTCACCGTACCGTACATCAGGGACATATCAGAGATGGCCACAAGACTATTTAGAGCCCTAGGTATCAGGGTAGCCCACAAACCAACAACCAACCTGCGACAGCTACTGACGAACATGAAGGATCCCAAACCCACAACCATTAAAACTAACATAATATACAAAATACCATGCAGGGACTGTGAGAAACATTACATAGGCCAAACTGGAAAAAAACTGGCAATAAGTATACACAAACACCAACTAGCCACCAAGACACATGCCCAATTCTCACTGGTCTCAATACACATGGACTAAGAAGGACACGATTTTGACTGGGACAACACATCCGTGATAGCACGAGCCAAACAGAGACATGCCAGGGAATTCATGGAGGCCTGGTATTCGAACCGGAACTCCATCAAGAAACACAGCGAACTGGACCCAATATACAAACCATTGAAAAAGAGAACCAGAAGTAATGCCAACCACCCCAGCAAACTGAGGCATATAAATAACAAGCGGGACAGAACACTCCACCAGAGGCATGCTGACGATGTTACTTAGCAGGGTGATGTCTGTAACGTCTGGAATCAAAAACACTGGCTCGGCAAGCAAGCCTACAATCTCATCCACAACCCGAGCTACAAATCGTCTCAAAAACTTTAAGTAAGGTTACACTTTTAAAAGGTCACTTTGTTGCTCCTGGGCTGTGAGCTCCCCCACACAGGTTTCTCCAAGGTCAGCTGTGAATTTCGCAGTTTATTTTTTCTTAGAACTAACTCGGAAGTCCAGACATACTTGAAACTAAACAGCAGAGGCAGTTAGCTGTAAAGGTTCACTGCTGTCACAGAGCTGTGCAGGTTTACTGCTCCATTTTCTTCAGCTCCCACCTGATCCCTGCTTGCTCTCTCTTCCTCCTTTTTTAACATGTTGTTGTTTTTATCTCTTCTTTTCCCCAAATTTCCAAAACAATGCAACAGTGTATAAACCAGTTAATTACTGCTCCAAAAATTCGAGGAAATCAGCTCCAACACTGAAAATACCTTAAAAATGGAGCAGCTCATACAGCCTTAATTATTTTCCCATCCTCCATCTTGTATTACCCAGAATCCTTTTCCAGAATCAGATAAAAAGGCAGTTAAAAGACATTGGCAGACATTAATGTAGAAACGTCATCAGGTCCTGGGTTACAGAGGCAAGTAAGGGTGGAAGTGCATTGGCTCTGGCAACAGTCTTCCAATCCTCCATGGATTTTGGAGGAATGCCAGAGGACTACAGGACTGCACAAGATATACATCTGTTCAAATTAAATTCGGAAAGACACAAACCTGGCAACTGCAGGCTTGGCAGACTACTGTTGCTTGTGACATCTTTGAGACAATAACCCAGAACAAGTACTGTTGCACTTAGAAAATCAGGGGCTAATTAATGGAAAAAGATGACAGCTATATAAAAGGCAAGAGATAGTAGGAACTGCAGAAGGCCCTTCTGAAGAAGGGTCTAGGCCCGAAACGTCAGCCTTCCTGCTCCTCTGATGCTGCTTGGCCTGCTGTGTACATCCAGCTCTACACCTTGTTATCTCTATATAAAAGGCAAACTGTGTTTGACCAAGTCTGAGTTTTTTTTAAAATAACCGAGAAATCTAATGAGTAGTGCAGTGTTGTGGAAAGAAACTTTCAAAGCAAAAATTGATAAAGTAAACACATAACAGATTTGTAAACAAGATTTAAAGCAAAGGATCCAAAATTGGCTAAGGGATATAAATGAGAGAATAGAGAAGAATGGCTGTTAGAAAGAAAGCATTTGGTTATGTTCCTCAGAAGACAGTATTGAAATCACTGCTCTTGATAAATATGTTACTCACCTGGATCTGAGAAAATTTGTGGAAGAGACAAAACTCAAATATTGTAAACAATGAGAATGGCAACAAACTTTGGGAGGAAATACACTGGTGAAGTGAAGACAGGAAAAGTAAGAGGAGACAAAATTAAATACAACAACTTTAAAGGGGTGCATGAACAGACAGACCTGGAAGTGTATGCGCACAAATTGTTGAAGGTGGCAGGACAAGTTGAAACGTCTGTTTTTTTTTAAAGGCTATGATTTATAGTGGAATAAAGAACAAAAATAAAAAGGCTATGTTAACTGTTTTGTCAAACACTGATTATTCCTTAGCTCGTTTGACATTTTCAATTTTGAGAGACCTATTTAGGAAAGATTTTTAAAGACATTTAGTGGAGAGATACCAGGGCTGAATGACTTTAATTATTTGGAGAGACAGGAGAAGCTGGGGTTTTTCTCTTTAAAGCCGTGAGGGGATTTGATAGAAGATGGCAGGCAAAGCAACCAGACGTGACATAAAAGAAACACAGTGAGCTGTTATGACCTAGAATACATAGCCTGTTGGAATGATGGATGCAAATTCAACAGCAGTTTTCAACAAGGATTATGAGACTAATTGGACAGCCCTGCCAGAGAACCAATATAGACCTGATGGACCAAAATGGTCTCCAGTACTGGATGCTTCTGTGATTTAGATTTTTTTCATGTAGTCACATGTTAACACTTACTTACCAGTATATGATCTAACTACTTCAAATCGTTTCTTGTCTTCATTTCTAAAAAGAAATATAAAGTTGTATGAAAAGGGAACGTTTCTTTCTAGTCTTGTGGCCTAAATATCATGTTTAACATACAGAAATCCCAATGTACATTAAAAACAGTATGAGTAATAACTCCTAATTATAAAGCAGGTAACACCTTCATTCCACAGTCCATGTTGAATATGCAAGGTTTGCAGAACATCCAGAATTGGACAGATTATCAGTAAGCAACATCTGAGCTGTACAATATCTGGCATTGACCATCTGCAGCAAAAGTGAATTGAACCACCTCACTTTGCATATTCTCCACCTTTATAATATCCCTTATTTCAAACACATACCCTTTCATTCCTGTATTGGAATGGCCTCCTTGGTCATTAAGGTTTACTCAACAATCTTGCAGACTTTGCCCACGTTTGCACAAGCATTAAGAACCACATTAAGCATTCGATAAAGGCAATATGAGTTAGCTCCAACACTGTATCCTGGGATTTCCTTGCATGCCTCTCAGTCACACTCTGGAACCACTGCACCACTCCCTAACCTAAACGTTGGGGGATGGGGATGGTGTTATGACTGTGCCCAACATTAAAGGGCACTTCCATGATGTCCCACAATGCCTGTATCTCCAGCTCGACAAGCCTGAGATGCGTTTCCTTGTGTTGCAGGCACTTGCTGCCATGCTCTACCCAAGCCTGGTTTGGTTTATTTAATCAGGTATTTAATCAATTTGACAGTTTCTTTTCGAAAAAAAACCCAGTAAAATCTGTCTAGGTTAAGTCCTTGATAGATTAAATACTGGTATTTAAAGTACCCTGCCAGCCCTCCTATGCTGCAGCAGCTCCTTAAGATTGTTCTCTGACTTTTCCGGCAGATGTATCACCACCCTTTTCAACATTTGCATTCTTGGCCCACTCTCTCTTCCATTGCTTTATACTCACAGGGTTTCTCTCTCACTGTCTCCCTGTCTGCGCCACTTTATATTCATACGCTTAACAATGGTGTGTTATAGATTACTCAGAAGATCATTTTAAGTGCAGTCTGGCACATTGGTGGAGGATCCAATTTTATTTCCTGCTCTCAACGCACTTGTGTTAGAAGGATATGCAAGTTGATACTCAACCTGTTTTGCCGTGTTATGAATGAATCTTCCTTGGCCAACATATCTCAGAGTGGCCACTACCCACTGCCCCACAGGAACTCACTCCTATAGCTACTGATCAACATTGTGTTAATTTTGAAGAGTGTCCCATTTACTGATCATAATTGTGTAATTTACAAACAAAGCACATCAAATCAATCTCACAGGTTCTTGAGCTTCACATAATGCCTAATCTATAAACGAACACTGCAGTTATCGGACTTGTACTTACATGTGAACACTTTGACCTGTTTTCCTGGTCTCCTCTCTGATTATAGCTGTGGATGTAAGAAGAACAGCCATTAGTTCACCAAGCCATTCCTAAGTTAAAAGTAATGACCCTCTTAATTCTTCATCCTATCTATTTTCCACCAGGTTTCTCCTCCATCGCCTCTTACCCAACAAAAACTCTTGAATTAGCTGAATATCACTAAATCAGTTACATTAAACTTAACTATGAATTCTTATTGAGAAATTACAACAAATCTTCAGCTTACTGATCTATAGTTCCCCCATTTTCCTCTCTTACCATTCTAAAATAGTGGAGTGACTTCTCTCTTATTGATTCGGAGATGTGGGTGTCTGTCTGGGCCAGCAGTCATCCCTAATTGCCCTGCAGAAGATGATGGTGAGCTGCCTTCTTGAACTGCTGCAGTCTTTGAGGTATCAGTACACCAACAATGCTGCCAGGGAAGGCCTTCTAGGATTTTGACCCAGCGACACTGAACGAATGGTGATATAGTTCTAACCAGGAAAGTGTGGGGCTTGAACAGGAACTTGTGGTGGAGATTATGCATTTGAAGAGGACTTTGAAGGACCCGTGGAAAGTTACTGCAGGGCATCTTGTAAATGGTACACATTACTGCCACTGTGTGTTGGTGGGGAAGTGAGTGAATATCTGTGCACTGCCAATTAAACAGCTGCTTTGTCCTGGATGGTGTCAAGCTTCTTGAGTGTTATTGGAGCTGCACTCATCCAGGCAAGTAGGGAGAATTCCATCAGATTCCTGACTTGTGCCTTGTAGATGGCAGATAACAGTGGGAAGACAGGTAGTGAGTTACTTGTGACAGAATGCGCAGCTTTCAATCAAAAGGAACAATTCTCAAGTCAAAAGAAATTGTGAAGATTATAGTCATGCTTTCTACAGCGCTGTCACCTACTTCCTAGAGAACTCTGGGATGGAAACCGTATGGTGTTATTTTTTCATTATGTTAATGCTGGTGTGTCCCTGACCTTAATTTACTATTAGCTTCTTTCAAATGCTAACCTCTAGTGATTTCATTCTTTGATGGGCTGTGGGCATAGCAGGCAAGACCAGAAATTGTCGCTAATCTACAACTGTTCTTGAATTGAACAGCTTGCTAGACCATTCAGTGCAATAAGACTAAAGCTATCCACAGTAAATTAAGCAAATATGCCATTAGTTAAAATAACAGAGTATCAGTGGAGATGTTCAAAAACTTATTGTACTGTGATGCCAAATTAATTTATATCCTTAAGGGGCAAAAGCTTTATCTTAAATTCAAAAAGATTGGTCAAGCAAGATTTTCCCTTTTGGGAAGAATATGAATGATTGAAGAAATGAGGGGCAACATAAAACAAAGCACACACAAATGCTAAAACTTTTGCAATTCAGGTGAATAGGAGAGACACAGGCCACGCAGAAGGCAGTTAGAGTCAACACATTATTGTTGCTATGGAGTGTTACATAGACCAAACCAGGTAAGGATGACAGATTTCTTTCCCTTAAGGAACAACAATGTTTTATGATTATCAACAATGTTTTATCATTATCATCAACGATCTCATGGTCACCACATGAAAACCATACTGAGACTGGCTTTCAATTCGGTACTTGTGAATTTACTTAAAATGACATAAAACATTTAAGAAACAATGGACATACTAAACTTGTGTTCACAATATCACTATTGTCAACTTATGAGCAGCCCACATTGCTCTTAATCACCTTTTTTTTGTAATATAATTGCAAAACACTTACACCGATTTTGCTATTCCCTGCGAGCTGCTTTTCATAGTCTCTTTTGTATACATCGCTATCTATTTGGGCACCCTTTGCTATAACTTTGTATTCCTTCCACAAGGGAGAGTCTTGCTTGACCAATCTCTTTGAATTCTTTGAAGAATTAAGATACAGTACACAAAAGCAGCAGAGATGATGTAATATATCTAGATTTCAAAGTAGTTTTCCATAAGGTACCACATAAGGGGTTAATAAGTAAGTCCCCAGATTAGGACCCCTATCCCCAGTAAACCCAGCAGTAAGGCCAGCTCGTTTTACTTGTCAGGAGTGCTGCCAATTTTCTCGCTTGCTAGGAACATAGTAAATCAGAACAGCGGTATGAACAGGCCTTTAAGTAATGGTTAACTGACCACATTTAAACTCCTTAATTTACCCAGCGTCAGAACATGAGCCTTTGTACCCTGAACTTAATTCCTGAGGTGGCATGAAAGGAGTCAGGACCTGCCCTAAGTGCTAACCCACTTGATTTCTTGTCTTCCCTCCAGCTCTTAGAGGGGAAAATCCTGGTCACTGTTTGAAATTTCCAGAAGACATCAAATTGGAGAGGATATTCAATACTGAACAGGATGACAATAAATTACAATTTAATTTTAACAAGCTTGGAGAACAGGCATATAATTGACAACTGAATTTCAACAAGTGGGAGGCATTACATTTGGTTGACCTACCCACTCAGTAGCCAACCTGGTGATACTCAAGCAGCAGAAACCACACAATGCCCACAGCATCTGGCTTGTCCTTAAAATCCACCCTACACAGCATCTGTGAGGAGACTCTAGGGTCTCCACCAGGAAACATCAAGACTGGCTTAATGTGAATGAACCAGGAGATCCAGGAGCTCCTAAATCGCAAACACAAGGCATTCCTGAATGGAGACGCACCAATACTTTTGGAAAAGGAAAATGTTTGAAGGGATAGTACCAGGGCTGCAAGTTTATATCCTTCAGGAATGGATGAACAGACTGACAAGGCTGAGCTTTAAAAAATTATTTTAAAAAGTCAATGTCAACACAGAGAGGGCATATCTGCTTATGGAGCAGAGAAGGTCTATAAGTCATCAACATTAAAATGACCATTACACAACCTATTAGGAATTAGTTAGAGAATGATGTGAATGTGGAACTTGTTATCACTGGAAGCAGTCGAGACATAATATACAGTACATTTAAACAGATGTTAAATAAGCACATAATGGCGAAAGTAATAGAGTTTATGTTCATCAGATTAGAGGATTAAGAATGGGAGGAGGTTTGAATGGGCTATAAATGCCAACATAGTCCAGTTGAGTCAAATGGTCTTAATGTTATACTTCTAAGTTCTGTGTTGTTTATTCTATGTATTTCTATGTAGGAGCCTATTCAGGCTTCAGTCTCAGCTGTTCATTCATGTATGAAGTCACATATTCAATGTCACAGGAGGGAGCATTATAGCCAAGGTCAGTGACCCAGTGGCCTTGATGTTTTCGCACAAGAGTCCTGCAAAGCCAACAGAGATCCAACCTGGGGTGTCTCTGATCTGTGTGGCCGAGGTATTCAGCTGTAATGAGCTAAGCCACTAGGGGACACAATGGTTCATTGCACAGACAGGTCACTTATCCATTAACAGTCAGGAGGCATTGGTTATTTTCCCTTCTTCTTTGAGAAGGAAACAGATCAGAACTCCTTGGCTGGGAATTTCTTCAAATCTGTGCCCAGTCCACCACCGTAACCTGCCAGAAGGGCAGTGGATACTTTGCAGCAGCAGAGCAGGGAACAATCCCAGGAAATTCCCAGGTCAATATTAAGCTGGAGCTAATTTCACCATCAGTGCATGCTCTAAGCTGATAGTTGTGAGTAGTTGCATGTTATACAATCTGTCCAACACTCAGTTCAATTGAAGGCAATCAGACAAGGAATAGAAGGGATGGCAAGTGGTCTGTATCCTGACTTGCCAACATCAATGAGAATTTGTTCCTTAAACTCATGGTCAAGCTGGACCACATCTAGAAACCTTATGAATTTAGCTTCTACATTTTTAAATGCAGTACATTTTTTTCAATTATTGTTTAGGCTGAGATCGGAAAATGACCATGAAGACTACTAAAGTCATCATAAAAATGTTCCCACTGTACATTAATGAATGTCCTCTACCCTGTCTGGACATAGATGCATTCTAGCCCCACTCTACATTGATGCTTAAGGACAGTTAGGGATGAGGTTAAATGTATCAGCCATATCACAAGAACTAAGTCATAAACAACAACTATGCATCTGGTGCAGCAAAACAAATTTAACATTTCTTCAATAAAGGGATAAGTATGAGACTAGATGAAAAATGTGTCAGTGTGAATGACAGATGCAACAATCCTTAAAATTAATGGAATAAATCAGACTTGTTTGTTTGCCCCAAGTCTGTTTCTCATAGTGATTAAATTTCTTGTTAAACAGTGGCAAAGTGAAAATGAGATTCTGGAAAAATATTAGCCGTCCCATTTATTTTCTGCACTTGGTTCTGAAGCTGCATTCGGTTGCAAATTCTGTTCATTTTAAACAGACTGCCAGATAAACTGAAATTCTAATTTTTAATTCAAGGTAATCCATTGTTTTATATTGAAAAAATATTATCCAACATCCATATTACTAAAAGCACATGGAAACTCCTGAGACAAGTAAAGACAAGATTTACAAACTGTTTGCAGTGCAGAAACAGGCCATTCAGCACACAGAATTCATGTTCAATTCCAGCCTCCTCTTGCCACTTGCAACAAACTCCATAAACATAGCCTCCTGTTTATCTCTCTCCTGTAATTTCTAGCATCCCCATTCCACATTCTGACCATTCTTTGTTCTAAAGGTCTCTCCTAATTTTCCTATTGGGTTTATTAAACACTTTATTTATGCACCTGGATCTGATCTCACTTGCAAGTAGAAAAATCTTTACATTTATCCAATCAAATCTTTTACTAATCCTAGAGACCTCCATTAGCTCACCACTCAGTTCACTAAAGAGCCCCTGCATGCTCAATTCACGAGAGACATAATCTCTCAGTTTTGGCATTATTCCAGTAAAGCTTTATTGGACCTTCTACAGGGCTTTTTTTTCATATATATAAAACAGAAACCAGACCTGTTCAAAGCATGCCAAGAGCACTCTAACATCAATTCTCCACATTTCAATTTGATCCCTCTGGAAATGAATCCCAGTGCTTGGTTTGTCTTTTCATGGTCTTAATCTGAGTCAGTTTCCACTCTCTGC